TGGAGGGTCACGTACGCCTTCCTACACCCGCGACATCGATTTTAGCGACCCTGTACAACCGCACAAAGCTTTTGAACCTCAAGCCGCTTCGGGGAGGGGCTGATTTTGCTGCGAGCGGGGTGCCCCGGTTTTCACCCAGGCAGCGGGGGTGAAGCGGCGCTAACCCCGGTGTTAAGGGGCAGTTATCACACCCGAAATGCTTCCCGTCTCCTATAGCGCGACCCTATATCCGTAGCCCACGCCGGGCTTTGCACACTCGGCGTAACCCACACGCGGGTACCGGGAGGAGCTCGTTTCTACCAGCCCCCGTCTTTTTGCGAGCCTGCCTTCAGCTCTGCATGCGGTAAGGTCTTATCGCTCACATAACTCAATCAAAAGAGTTGAAAAGTTAATATCTAGCACAAATGTTTATGCATGCTTTATATGCAGAAGAGATAAGTGGATTATTTATACGCCTCTCGGTGTGTATGTGTAACGCAGATACATATAATTCATAATTGCATCCACACTATTCCGGTTATGTTTTTTGGAGAAGGACCAGCTTCCCGTAGCACAAACACGCACATTTCCTAAACATATTAGTGGCTCGAAATTTTACTTTTCAATACAGTCACAATAAACCAAAGAAACACGCCGAACGCCAAAATGACATTAGTTGACTCGAAATGAGGTGAAACTTCAGTCTCCCCTTCCCTCTCTCCGTCCTCAGGAATAGCTTGTCTCTTTGCCACCTGAAGGTAAACCGCGCCCTGCGACTCTTCAGGTGCTCCGATTTCTTTAAAAAAAAATAAATTCTGTTTCATTTTTCCTCACTGAGCGTCCTGTAGCGGCCGTAAATAAGCTCGGGAGGAGCGAATTAGCGGGAGGATGGAGTAGACGTGGAGTCGGAGAGCACAGGCTGGAAATTAATAGCAATGAGGAGTGGGACTGCCCTGTAGAATCACACACACCTACACCCACACACCCACACACACCCTCATTCTTGCCACCAAGAGGGATCAATGACCCTCCAGCCAGTGAGTTCATTTTTGGGAATGGGATCCTTAACCGTGCCGGTGTTCATGCTAACCCGCCCTGAATTTCACCTCTGCAAGGTTTTCCCACCTATTCCCGAAAGCTGGCGGGGGTGGGGGGAGAGTGGTTCTTGTTGGGGTTTTTTTTGTTCGTAAAATGTCAGACACGAGTTCAGAGCAGGCAGGGGTGTGAAGGGAGCTGCGACCCTCGGCTTACCTTCCACCAGGGAGGTGAGTAAAGTGACATTTGCGGCCTTACGCCTGCCGGCTGGTAAATTCAAACCGATTTTTTCTAGCCTTTCTCGCAAAGATCTCCCCCCGTTTTTCGATTTGGCTCTAGAATTGCAAAGAAATTAACATCGTGATTAACCCCGCAGTGTTCCTGGAAGAAACGTTTAGTCTGTGCAGTCAGTGGAGCCTGGGAGGGTTTTCACTCGACGTTAAGGACTTCGGGTGTGTTGATTTCTGCTCGGGTTTGCTGAGATTTGCTTAATTTCTCCCAGGGGTGGGAGCGGGGATGAACCCATTTTTCTCCCTATTTTATCCAGGGAAATCAAATAATGCCAGATAGCAATAATTAATGGACAGGGTTCTGATCTAGAGAGCACACGGGTTCCTGCTGTATGACACTAACTCGTATTAAGATCGAGCGAGGAGATGGGCAGAAAGGTAGAGGAGGAGAATTAAATCCTCAGTTCCAGGAAAGAGCCAGAATGGGAAGAAGAACGGGGAGGTGGGGGGGGAAATCTGAAAGGCTCGAAAGGAGAATGTGCGTGCCTGTGGATAAATAGAAAAGGAGAAAAATATTTTTTAAACCATTTCGTGCGTGTGTGTGACTGTGTTCTTGTGCGGAAAGGCGGTGCTGAGAGGAAGAGCTCACCTGAAGCCAGGGTGCGTTATACAGAGGGAATTGATTGCCTGAAGGAAGATTTGAATATCTGTCGGAGGTTACTGATAAGGACAATAAAAGGATGAGCGAGCTATAGGTGGGAAATACAGAGCTATTGTTCGGACGCCTATACATATGTAACCCCCCAGGGATGAAATCTTGCCACCTGCGAAATCAGGGAGACTTTTGGCACCTAAGATCAGAGTCTATCCCAAACATCTCTTAGTTCTTACTTAAAATTTGTTTAAGCATTAGCAGTCACACTTAGCGAAAGGAAACCAGGAACGACAGAGAAGCCAGACTGGCTTCCCACTATTTTGTATCAAAGTAAGTAGGGCTAGATGGCAGAACTGCAAGAGAGCAGCTTTCTATATTTCATGTGCTCTGAACCAAAAGCTTGTCTAAAATTTAGATTCAAGATAGGAACTGAAGTCAGCAGCAGCCAGTGATTATGTCTTGGGCCATCTCCAGAAATCCACTGAAGTTCAATAATGATGTTTCTTTACCTTGATAATTATATTTTCTACAGTGCATCTCTCAGATGTTCTCCCTGCTCCATTTGTGGTTGTACAGAATGAGCAGACAGGTTAGCATCTGTAAGTGAAAATCTCTGCTGCTCTCACTGGCAAGGACCACAGCTGAAACATTGATTACAGACATTCACGTGGAACAGCATCTATTTTAGGAGGCCTTAATTCTCACGTGTATTTTTGGGTGACTGACTGCATGTAGCAGGACTTTCTCCCTCCTCTCCAGATGCAGAGCTGGAGCCCCTGACATCATCACAGAATTTTTTTGCATGGGGGAAAAAGCAAAGAAACAAACAAACAACAACTTCATTTTAAAACACCTTAGAGTCAACGTTGCCCAGTTGGTGCTACAGGAGTTGGCAAGATATTTCCTCTCCTAAGATCAGCAACTTTTAAACATGATCTGAAATTTATTCAGGGCCAAATTCATTGACTTTGTTTCTGTCTCGAAGTTATGCTATATATTCCAGTCTGGCATACACCTCACATGTAGAAAATGAAGTCTTATCCCCTCTCAGCTTTCCATTGGCTTGGGTGAACTGGTACCTCATACCATATCACGACTTCTTCCCTGTTCTGACCGGAGACAGAGCCTTAGCTCACGTTTCTTACAGACAAGTCATACTGACAATTCCCAGACCTTCAGTCACTGTCAAGAAGATGAAGGCCTTTCTCCTGTTAGTCTTTCCAGCTGATGACCTCGGAGCTTAAATTCTTGTTGCTGGTACCTAAATGCACAATCTCTCGCTTGATATGATGGAGTGGCAACCAGGCCTCCAGGTTATCCCTCGCTCCTCTTTTCCCTCAGTATCAGCAATGCCAACTATTTTGAGGTCTCCAGCAAAATCCGCCAGGACATTAGTGGGTGATTTGCACAAATGTTAAACAGCAAAGGCCTCAAGACCAACTGTGAGCAATTCCTCTAGCAACCTTCTCTAGATGAAGCACTAAGTTTCTGACCTTCAAAGCTCTCTGTTGATGGCTTTTCTTTAGTCGGGTACTTACCTACCTTACAGGTAGCCTATAAATCCCCTGCCAACTTCAATAATGCCTCGTGTGACACCATGGTAATTGCCTTATCGTTATTGCCATATAGAGGAAGCCTCATGGATTTATCTAGGAAATCCCTAGAAATACATCAGGTCCTGAAATACATCCAGTTTGTCCTGCAACATCTAACTGCAACATGCCCATCACGGCATTTTATTTTGTCCATTTGCTAAGAGAAAAGTGTGAGGAGAAGGAGAAAAGATAGAAAGTGTGTGCATGTGCAAGTGTGAAAAAACTTCTTGTCTCAGTTCCTTCATTTTGAGATGCTTTGACAGAAAACGTACAAGGCCAACCCTTTCCCTAGTCTCCACATGTTCATCTCAACATCTGAACGCAGCATATTTTCACCTTACCCTGAACGTTACACACACATGCTATGACAGTAAGATCAATGCATATTTGCAACCCTCTTTACCATTGACCAAATATTTCTGGTGCATGCATGGGTGCCCACACATGGGCGTGTTCATGCACTCGCCCCAGCCTCTTACCTTCTAAGTACTCCGCCTAGGAGGGACGCATTCAGACACTCTGGAGGAGAAAGGCGTCTTTGAACTTCTCCCACAGTTACTTTATACTTTGAAGTTGAACTAAGCAAAGACAAGCGGCCGGGTACAGAGCAAAACACCTCTCCGGTATTGACTGAAATTCCACCCAGGAAGCCATCTTTATTCATCATCAAAGAAGTAACAGATTTTGGAGGAACCGGAACTGGAGAAAGAAAAGGGGAAGAGGGGAGAGAGAAACCATCACGCCACGAAGGAGTACAGGATAACCACAGTCTCTCTGACATGCACAGAACAGCAAAATGAAAGGGAATTTTGAATCTCTGGCTACCTCCAGCAACCTAAAGGGTGCTGCTCCCCCAACCTCTAGGAAACTGCTCCATGAATGATGGATGGAGAGAAGGGTGGTGCAGTACAGCCTCTATGCAGGGTTTGATCATTGGGAAATAAAATACATATTGGCAAGCACCTGGCAACTTTCGGGTTTGAGCCTGTGTCTCACCCAGAGCCCCCCGATGCCTTTTGTACAACGGACAGCGCCTTTCTGGAGGGGAAAAAAAAAGGAAAATTTACTTTTTTTTGCGAATGTTTCCATTACTGCTAAGCTGAGCTAGGAATAAATTCACTACGCGAAGGGAGTTGCTGCCTTAAGTAAGTGTCAAGGCTGGAGGATACAGCAACCAGAAGACAGCTCTGTTATTGCTTTGTGTTTTTATTAAGTCTGGTTTATGAAATAAAATGAGTCTTTTCCTCCAGAAAAATGAACACCAGAAAAAAAAATATCTGGTCTAACCACAGCGTTCGCCACCTTGCGCTGTCCATGAAGTAGTGGGAACTCTCCTGCCCCTAAATAAAGCTGATCTAGTTACTGTAACACATATTTAAAGGTAGTTATGGGGGAAAAAAACAAACCAAAACAATAAAGGGAAACTAAACAAAATAAAAAGATCTTATTCTGTCCATGATAAAACGAAAGATTTCTTTTCTCTGAGAAACTAGCGAGGTTATTTTAAGAGTAACCAAGGGGATTATAACGAACAAATTCCTGTAATAGCAACCAGACACACTCAGAAAGAAAGAAAGAAACAAACAAAAAAACCTGGTTAAACTAAAAATGAGAGCAATCCCCCCGTGACATGAATTTTGTTTACAAATGAACTTAAACAGCTCCCTCATAATTGTGTGGAACTGTTATGATTTACAGCAGGTGCTCTAATCAATCAACCAATCACTTTAATTTATAGGGAGCCTCGCTGCATTTTCCCAGTTGTTTCATTTCTGCAAGTAATTGATAACAAACCGTACTTAAGGTATGTTTTATGCAGGAGTTAATAAGAGCTGACAGCTGCTACTGCTGCTTCCTCTCGGAACCGCGGCAACACGCGTTTCCTTATAGAAAATATACTCCGAAATTGGGGGG